TGTGGGAATTGGGAAGATTTTGCCACCAGCCTGCTTTGTTTGCTTACTTTTATGTAAGTTTCGCTAAGGGGCTGGGTTAAGTATTTTGACCTACTTCAGGCATCCCCAGATTCTTTTCTCCTTTCCAAAGCAAAGGCTGGTGTTTCATACTGCAGGGCCACACCTTTCACTCTTCCAGTCATCTGTCTTCAGGCCTCTCCCATGCCCAGCACCTGACAGAACTTGTCTGGCTTTGCCCCAGGGGCAAGAGAGGCGAAGGGATGGAGGAGAAAACCCTCATGCCATTGACAGGCAAAACACATGAATGCTTCTGAGGCTTTTCTCATGGTATGCAAAACCCTGCCAGGAGAAGGGGATACACTGGAGTGCATTTCTTCAGAGGACCAACTGGGAGTTAGTACCACCGGGCTTTGTAAATACATGGGGTAAGACTGACATACTTCAGTGGATTATCTCCACTTTGTACTTCCTAAAAGTATGCAGGAACTTTCTGGGTGCAGAAAGGCGCTCTGTGTATGAACAAAGGTGGCTGTGCAATTCCAGGTTCCAGCTTAAACAGAGCAACTTTTGTTTCACTGGCCTAGGAAGGAGGTTGAAAGGGGGAATGAAATGTGTTGACCTACCAACTACTTACCTCAGCTGATCCACGGCTAGGAGTTGCGGTTGATTTGTGGTGGTAGCAATACCAAGAGCAGGCAGGAAGGGCACTGCCGTGTCTTTCTGCAACACGTTCAACTTTCAGTATCTCCAAATTGACACAGAGATTTGCTTCATGAATCATAAAACTGCAGAAGCTTTTGGAATGGAAGTTTTATCTGCTAATCACAACACATGCTGTTGTGTTGGGAAAGACTAAGAGTGAACAAGTCCATACTAAAATACAACCCACATAATCTAAGGGGAGTGTGAAGAAATGGCACATGTTCAGTCTCAGACATGCTTTTGTTGTGGGACACCTTTCCAGTACTGGTGTAGTTCACTGGAGGGATACGTTCTAAGCACAGCGGGTTTGCTGAAGATACAGTGCCAAATCAATTGACGATGTAGAAGGGCAACATTCCTTTGCTGCTGTTCATGAATTGTGCTAGCAATAAAATCAGACTGAACAAGTTAAACAGCCTTGTAAATGATATAAAATTAGCTCTAATCTCATCTCCAGCACCAATAATATACTTAAGACTCTGGAAGCGTAGATCACGTGTGTATATTGTGGTTGATAGTAGCTTCAATCTAGACCTGTTTATATAAATTAGTGGCTTTATCTGATTTTGTGGCCAGTCAAAAGCATAACTCTTACATTACAGTGCAAATCAGGATTTAAACCTGCAGTCAGGGTTGGGGCTTTTGGCCAGGAGCCAGCGCAGGCCGCTCTCAGAAAGCCTTCGCTTAGTGCAACAGCAGCTAAAACCTTCCTTTTGACTCCCCTCCGACCTCAGGGCATGTCTCATTAGCAGATTAAGTCCAGAGTTAAACGACTCCTCCAGGAGCAGAGGATGCAGTGTCTACGGAGCCTGCCATTCCAGCTGAAATGATTTTCCGAAAGCCAGATAAGGAGCTCTGTGACTTGCCAGAGGGGAGAAGATCTAGAGATAAGGTTTGTTTTGCAAAACTTCGCTCATGAATAAATCCTGGGAAAATCTGCACTAAGCTGTGATGTCACAGCCCTTGCCTCCTTTCAAGTTAATGAAGAGGAGGGTGTGCTCAGTTCCTCTGTCACCATAAATCTCTGCTTTCCTACGCCCAACAGTAGGAAGACGCCTGCCTGCTCTCATCGCAGCCAGAGCACATGAGATTGCTCTAACATTCCACCTGCCTCCCTGGCTGCCAACCACCCGGGTCACCCAGGGGTAACCGGCGGGCAGGGAGCCTCCAGGAGCTGCCACGGGGATTAAACCACCTCCTCGGGCTCCTGCCCTCTGCAATTTTCTGGTCAGTAACTCTCTGAAAGGAGAGCGTGTCTAGTGGGGTAGGGAGGGGCTGGCAGGACAGGATGACGAGAGGTGAAGGGGGAGAAGAAATGGGGGCTGGATTCTTTCCAGGACAGAAAACTGTCTGTCCAAGAACTTATCCAAAACACAAATTAAATATTCCTCTATCCACCATTAAATTAACCGTGAATGGGTGGCTGTGCAACATCCTGACAGGCTGTGTAATGAGGAACACCATGTCTCTTTTCTCCTTTATTCCTCTGCTTTTTCCTCTGTCCCAGGCAGGCATTTCTGTGTCTGTAAGAGTCATTCTCTCCAGGCCGAAGTGAGCAGAAGGGTTTGTTTAGGAGCATTGGGAACATGCATGATTATCCGTGACTTTTCAGTTTAGTGAGAATGTTACAAATAACCCAACCTCATACGTTCCAACTCATAAGCAGCAACTCATCTAATTGCAGATTTTGCAGAAGGAGGTGAATTCAGGAGAGCAAGGGACTTATGAGGTTTCTAGGAAATCTCAGGCCACAGTAGTAGACCTAGGACAACCTTGGTGAAACTGCTGCAAGTATTGCCTACACAGGAACACTGAGCCAAAGCCCTCTGTAAAGACAGAGCTCAGGAGCAACAGAAGCCTCAACTAGGAGGCTAATGCAGCAACTAAAAGTCTTGTCTCTCTGTAAGATGTGCTATCCTCAGAGGCCAGAGGGAAGCCCTTGCCAATTTAATATGGCCAGATGTCAGAGAGAAGTTGAAAGTCTTGTATGTCTTGTAGGAACAGTCAACCAATTCAAATTTGGACCAAAAGCAGGTTGTATTGAGGTCTTAGTTTTATCCATCTGTAAAAAGTAGCAGCAGTGATGGCAGAAAACCTCACTTCCGACTGTGACATTGGGGAACTTTCCCCTCTCACAAAAGAACGGCCTTTTATTTACTGCTTTTCTCTTACGCAGGCTGAAGCCTTCACCTGAGTGTGAACAGTATCAAGGACACAAAAACTTCCATGGAAAAAGAATCGGTGCTTAAGTTAATACTGTCAGCAGGAGAACCAGCAAATTCTGTCTTCCCCAGATGGCCTAGATTTTAATGGGGTCATTTTGCAAGACTTACCTGTAGGATAAAGGTCCCAAAGTAACTGTTGGGGCATAAAAAATGTTATATCCAAGAACTGCATCACAGACAGATGTTCCTTTGACAAGTTGTCCTTTGCTTAATGATTCTTCCATATATCTTTCCTGACATTTGGTGCATCAGTGGCAGCTCTTGGGAATAGGAGGCTGTGTGGATGTTTGAAACAGATTAAAGTGAAGAGTGAGGGATCTGCTTTTCAGTTTGCAATAGCAGTGGGAAACCTGGAGTGCTGGGTGTGCGAGGTCTGTTTCTTGCCTTGCTCCCCTTGTCATGAAATCGTAGAAGCATAGGATGGTTTGGGTTGGAAAGGACCTTAAGATCATCCGGTTCCAACTCCCTGCCATGGGCAGGGATGCCTCACATTAGACCATGTCACCCAAGATGCTGTCCAACCTGGCCTTGTCTGCCACATTAATTCTCTTTCTCTTCCTCTCCTGCCTTCCATCACTCTTCAACTTGTCATTTCATTTTTTAGGGTCTTATTTGACTGATCCAGTCCTAAGAGGCTGAAGTTCACTCTGTTGCAAACTTAGAGTGGGCATCAGACTTGATGCTTATGGTTGACATTTTGTGATGGTTTTTTTCTTCTCTTTCCAACAGAGGTGTAGCTTGTGAAAGAGAGAGTAAGTATGTGTGTGCTTGTAGCTGAATGGTATTTTGTCAATATTTCCTGAAAACTTGTGAAATTTCTCACATGTTCTTGGTTTCCTGTCAAGTCTGCAGAGTAGACGTAAGAATTATCCTCCAGTCTAGCTCTGAGTTCAGCAGTGAGTAAATAGCCATTGGTTTTACAAGCTCTGTGTAGATGTCAAAGCCTGATAGCTAGCTAAGGGTGATGTGCTGAGGCTTTCAAGGACAGGCCAGTACACAAGCTCCACTTTTAGCTGGATGCTTTCCTGCAGTTTTGAAGGTTTTTAATGGGTTTCTCCTTGAAGATTACTTCACCTGAGAAAAGATTTCCCATGAAGTGGCTCTGGCATATTTTTACATGCTCTGAAGTTCCTAGTTAACTAACTCATTAGCCCTTTGGTGATTTTGAGACTATAACTGTATCAGTCTTTGTGCGTTTATGTTCACAGATGTGGCAATGACTTATAAACGGGATTAACTATGAATTTAACTCATTTAGGAAATGGTAGAGGACCCAGGTAAGTAACCTTAAAAAATAGAAAAGAAGGTTATATACCAGGAAAAAATGTTTTGGTTGAATCTTTTTATCTGTAGACGAATGTTTGAAAGTGCTGGAAGCACCAAATGTTTTGTTTCTATGGATATTCACAACTGTTCTTTGTACAAGCAGTATTGTATCATCTTCCCTGTGTTAAATGGGAGTGGTAAGTGGGATCTTGCATATATTAGTTGCAAAATAAGTTCATGCTTGAAATTTCTCACTTCAGATGTCTGTATAGGATGAACCTCTTGTTTGAACTGCAGTTAGGACACCAGCCTGCAAACAACACTGCGAACAGTTACAGATGATAGGCTGAAAAAACATGTTTTACTGCAGAGCAGATGCTATCTCCAAATGTAGAACAAGAAGCAGATAACATACCAGATACACAGGAAGGTCTGGGATTTTAGAAGGAATTTATCTTTGTGTGTGTATAGCAAAAGCAGGGATAGATTTGAAATTCCATGATACAGAAAATTTGCCAAGTGTTTCATAGATTTGTCATGTTAAGCTAAAGATGCAGCATTTTATGTTGCTTGTAAAGAACCTGGAAATAGTGTATCAGCACTGGGATACAGCTACCTCCAGGATACTCAAGTCCTATCCCCATGTAATAGAAAATCGTTGTTAGTTCTAAATGAAACAATGCAAAGGGCTGGCAGCAAAAACACAACAAAGATATCCATCAAATTGCTGAAGTTAGGAAGCATGTTTTAATTATTTTAGATTTGAAGCAGAAGCAGTTTGACTCTAACAAAAGTTTTTTGCTGCAGATCATCCTGTGGGGTCGAACTGAGAAATGCCTGAAGGAGACCACAGAGGAAATCAGGATGATGGGGACAGAATGCCATTTTTTCATCTGTGATGTAGGAAATCGAGAGGAGGTCTATCGGCAGGCCAAGGCTGTGCGGGAGAAGGTTAGTTTCTGTGTAGAAACACTGTTTGTGGGCAGCACTGAGTAATGACTCTGATAAGGAAAAAAATATATTGGCAAATTGGGAAAAAAAGGGGGGTGACCATCGGATTGTATTGTACAGAGTCCAGCTACCTGTTGTAAGTGATTGCAAGCCATGTAAACAAGAATGTCGACAGCTATGAAAATAATAACATTTTTAGGTAATAACAAATACTCAGATCTAGTGGTGACTGCTGATTCACGAGGAGAGATATTAGTTGTAACAAGGAATTTGGGGGTTTTGCAGGTGGGTGATATCACCATCCTGGTAAACAATGCTGCTGTGGTCCATGGGAAGAGTCTGATGGACAGCGATGATGATGCACTGCTCAAATCACAACATATAAACACCCTGGGACAGTTCTGGGTAAGAGGAGCTCTTGTATCACATGCATTCGGAATTGGAAGTGAGAGTGACAGGAGCCAGCAAAAACTTGGCTGTTACTAGGTCTTTCTAAACAATGCTTGGTAAAATGTGTCTGATGTGAAAAGGAGACAGAAAAAACAATGTAAGTGGCAAAGGCCAGGGGAAAGAAAGTCTAAAAATTTGATTTGTCCCAGTAGTAACACAGTATTTGATGCTCTTGTATCCCCATTCTGTGATTTCCAGTAAAACATTTGATTTCTTTTGAGAAAGCCTGAGCTCAGAGGAGAGTGCTCTGTACAGAGATGTGTGTGGAACATCAGAGGAGAGAGATTTTGTTTTGTTTCTACATAAACTATGCATTTAGAATCTCCAAGAATGACAAAGCAACAAGGTCCTTTCCCACTCCTGTCCTAGCATAATGAACAGCACAGTTTGTTATCTCTCTGTCATCTTATTTTTTTTTTCAGTAACTGTTGTTTTTGTTGTATCTCTGCTGAACAAACCTTTTTCTTTTTTTAACTCTGTTCTTCAGACCACCAAAGCATTCCTGCCAAGGATGCTGGAGTTGCAGAAAGGACACATTGTTTGCCTGAACTCTGTCCTGGCCTTGTCAGCTATCCCTGGTGCCATTGACTATTGCACCTCCAAAGCCTCATCCTTTGCCTTTATGGAGAGCCTGACCTTAGGGCTGCTCGACTGCCCTGGAGTGAATGCCACAACAGTCCTGCCCTTCCACACCAGCACAGAGATGTTTCAGGGCATGAGAATCAGGTCAGTCCAGGGGAACTAGAATAAAGCATCTCATTTTAAATGAGTCATCAGAATACACTCCTAATTAATGCTTCATTCAGTTAAGAGAATTTGATGTCTCATTTGGCTGCCTGGGAACAGAGGGTCACTCTAGGCCAGCAGGGACTCATCAGACTGGTTCCCTCGGTTGCTGGCGTATTCACACCACCTGCCTTACTGAGTGAGACATTTGCTTCTGCATAGAAAGCTGAAAGCTATTTTCCCTGAGTGTATTTAGGCCATATGCAGTCACCACAGAGGGAGGGGAGGTAATCTGAAAGCTGAGGTCATTTAAGAGGAGCAGTCTATAAATTACTTAAGAATTAACAGTACAAATTCCTTCTTTATTCATTGAAATACTTAATTCTTTTCCACTGAAAGAATGACAGCCAGTTACTGAAGTAAAGCTGTCAGTACCTCCTTTCAACCTCTAAGAGAATAAGCTAAATTCAAAGACTAAAAGCTGACCAAATTAATCTTTTACAATGGACAGAGTAACTTTATTAATATAGTTAGTGCTAGTGCTCTCTTAGACAAGAAAATATGCAGTGCCAAGCTATTGCTGGAGCGGGGAAAAGCCTTCTCTTTGGTTCTAAAAATCAATGGGAGACAATATTTGCCTTTCACCTGTCAAGAATTTGAATCAAGCAAAGAGCAATAGAGGAAGAGGAAAAACACCGACACTGAAATGACAGCATTTTGGGATTAGTTTGCATGCAGTTTAAGAAAATCCCTGAATCAAGGTTCTGAGCATGCTGCCACGTCTCCCTGAAGGCACCAAATGTACATTCGTTATGTTTAGCTAACCCAGCAGTACTGGTTGGAACTGGGCTTTCTGCTTCCAGCATTCTGGCTGCAACTGGAACTTTCTGCTTCTTCCAGCCTGCTTTGAGGCATGTTTGAATGCCAGTAACCAGCGATAGCTTAGTGAGTAACAGGACTTGGACAGTGATATCTTAAAGCAGGAGGTTGGTTAACAAATAATTGTTTTATTTTTTACTTTATTTACTCAGGTTCCCTAATCTTTTTCCTCCTCTCAAGCCAGAGACAGTGGCTAGGAGGACAGTAGAAGCAGTTCAGATGAATCAAGCCTTCCTGCTCCTTCCGTGGACAATGCATGTTCTTGTCATCCTAAAGAGGTAAGTATTTCCTTTGCCCAGCAATAGCCTCACCAGTTTGGCAAGACTGGCTTAAAGTCCCTCCGTGTCAAACAATTTGGCTGTAACCCAGTATCCAGGATCAGATTTGTCCGTCCCTTCCCAAGAAAGACATAGAAGCAAAAACTTCCGGAGATTCTCTTCATAGATGTTTTCCCTGGATATGACCACTTTATGAAACCGGTTTCTCTCCCCAAATTTGGATTCCTGAGGTCTGAACTGGTATTTGTATCTGGGAAATTTCTTAACAATTAACATACGCATGGAGCTGATTTGGATTTAGTAAGCCACTCTTTGGGCTCCAGGCTCTGTGTTGTGAAGGGTTTCAGTGCAACAAGGTATGTACACCACAGCTGTATTTGCTTGTGCTAAAGCAATGAAACTATTAAAAAAAGTATTTTTGTGTATGATTAGCACAAGAATTCTAAAGTCCCTAAGGAAAGAAATTCATAACTTCATATCCTGAAACAACTGAAGAGAAAGGACGTTTAAAATTGTGTTTCCATGAGTTTCCCTTAAAGCCTTTGGAAAACCTGCTTCAGTCAGGAACTGAAAGGAGGTCATGAGATTTTGTGGAAAATAGTTACAATAGTTACAATGCTGCATTGCAAACGAGAGAAATAATTCACAATAAATGCTTTGCTCGGGAATACTCTCAAAAGTTCCCAGAAGTTCTACAGACTGAAAAAGGGCCGTTCTCCTTCTCCTGCAATATAAGAATTAATAACTCATTTTCTATTACAGTAGCTGTCAGGAATCAGACCTATGTCCATACCTTATTATTAGGAGGCCACATGCCTAGCACAAACAGATGGCAACTTAACCTGAGCCCTCAGGTTAAATCTGCGTATTTCAGAGTACAAGATTCTGCACAGTAGTTGGGAGGAATAAAACATGATGGTATCTTCCAAGTTACAGTTTTTACAGACCTTTTTGGATAAATATTTCTGCAGAGAAAGAGCAACTTGATAGAACTTTCTCCCTTTAGATCTACTCACAGCAGGATACTGACATGTTTTGTCTGTGCACCCTCAGTGGCTGATTTTGAGAATATGTATGCTTAAGTATGTGTGTACATAAATGCATATTTGCACATCCTCTTACTAGAACAGACTAAGAGGTTTTTTGTCTGATCTGCTTATTTTCTTTCTGCAGCATTCTCCCTCAGGCAGCACTTGAAGAAATCCACAAGTTTTCTGGGAGCTACACCTGCATGAACACTTTCAAAGGACGAACATAGACTTGGTGGTGCAAGGACTGTTCTTCTGTGGAACCAGCACAAGCATGAAAATCCTGACAAGGCTGTGAATCAGCAGTCTTGGCTTTCAGCCTGTTCATGTGACTTGAGCTGCTCTGAGGCAACACATTTCTTGCAGGTCATATCCATAGTAACATGACCTTTGCACAGGATTGAATGACTAGACTATGGACCCTTGGAAAGAAAAACAAAAAGTGTGAAATGTTTATATGATGGTTAATTCTTTAGAGTTCAATTGTTAAATCTACTCATAGTTTTAAGATGTAATTTTTGTTCCTGAAGTGTCTGTAGGCTGTCTCAGCACATCACACCCCATGCATTCTTTCTCCCCTCTTCAGAGGAACTGCAATTACAAACTGCTTCTGGTTTCATTTCAGCTTTTTGAATGGGGAACTTTAAAAATAGTTTGAAGAACTAAAAGTTATGGACATTTAATGGAAGTTTCCTTCCCTTCCTTCACTTTACATCCCTTGATGAAGCTGTTCCCAAGTCACATTAGGGAAGGAACAAACTGTGGGGCAATGTTTTCTTTGGTAAGGGCCACCCAGGACTTCTGTCTGGAAGGACTGTGCTGGGCTCAGGAAAGCTGTCTTAACCTGAGAAGGCTGGAGGGGAATGCTCAGTCAAAAGAGCAGACAGTTTGAATAGTGGAAGATTCTTTCTGTCACTGAACTCATCTATGAAATTTGTCTTTCAATCTCTGTTCATTTATGATAAAATACATATATATTTTCAGCTTTAATCCCAGATTGCCACACATGTAGGCAGCATCACGCTGGGGAGGAACTAAATCTAGAACTAAAACTAGAGCCTGTTTATACAAACATATATTCACTGACATAATCCATGCAGAAGGAAATCCATTGTTTGAATCTGCACAGTGAAGTAAGTGGAATAATGCTCTAAAAACAAAAGAGACAGTACTTTAGTCCTTATGAAATATGACGTTTGGAAGCACAGTTAGCAAAGACCTGATTAAATGCACATTGAATTCAACTGGGACTATACCCATTGTTTGTTCGGGGCATTGAATCAGGCACTGATCAGCCAGAAGTGGTAAATACTGCTTGGACTGAAATGCCAGATGCAGCTAGACATTATTTATTTTTGTAGTGATACATTCTCTTTGACAGCCTAGTAAGAGCAACACTGCATTCCTATGCCAGATGCAGTGTGCAGCACTAGGCACAGTAACGTAGCTGGAACACTACTAAAAGAGGAATTAATATAATTGCAATAAAAGGAAGTAGCAAGCCCAACTGGAGAACACCTGAATGAAGTGCCTCAAGGAAGGCCACCTGGTTAAAGTAAAGGAGTGAATTTAGGGCTCCTGAGTTGAATTTCAAGGTTTTCCGTAAATGTCCTGTGTAACCTGAGGCAAACTGCATAATTTCAAACCTGACCCGCAAAGCAGGTATTTCTAGCGTGTCCCTGCCTCAGAGTTGTAAGTCTGATTGCCTAAATGTTTGCCAAAAGCTCAGCAAATTCAAATGGAACATACTCTAGAAAGGAAAGTAATATTTCTTCATAAAGCAAGAGCTTCTGTACAAAAGTTTAGAAGAGGAAAACCCTCATATGCCTAAATATATCATTTCCTTTGAGAGACCTGATTTACAGCAGAAAAGCTGTGAGCTGCATTTGAAATACTCCTTTGGTTCTGCCATGTAGAATGGAGACCAATGATTTAGGTGCAATGATGTGAATGTTAAAACCCAGTAGCTATGTATCTTCTTGAGCAGTTCAAGAGGAAGACAGCACCCAAGGTGCCACTGGTACAAGCCCCTCTGCTTGTGGGGGTGTTCTGAGGAGCTGGGTCAGTGCTTCCTTTCCAAGTGCAGAACATACAAGCTGTAGCACTGTGCCAGCTTTGGAAACGTTTCTTACAATGGAGTTTTCTTTTGAATTCCAAGATGTCTGAGGCTCTCTGGAGAGGATGAAAAGCAACTTTGATCTCTGTGATTTTGACACCCACCCTTATAGATGCTTTCAGCTTTATTTTTTGTCAGTTTTTGAGAAGAAACCCAGTTCATTGAAAACACAAGTGCAATGAGGGGAGAACCCTTCCAGGATCTGCCAGGAATACTGAAGGTACTGTATTTACCACAAGGCACTTGGGAAGGGATGATCAGATGTGCCTACCCTTATGCACTCTGATCCTTTCTGGTTTCTCATTAATCACAGGCATGCCAGACTTGTAGATGCAAGAGCAAACAGAATTGGTGAAAGAGGGCACAGTCCTCCTTGAATTAAGCCTTTATGCTGAGATTCTATTATTTGATAACATCCTACTACAAAAGGGAGGTGAAAGCTGGTACAAACATTGAAATTAAGTCCCAGTCATCCCCAAATCCTCCAATGAATCTGCTTTTTTCCTGTGCTGCATAAAAGACGTTCCCTATCATCAGAGGTTGTCTTACATACCAAGTGCTGTTGATTTCTTTCTAATGAATATAAACAAGTCAGAACATAGCTGAGACTCTCATCATGTCACTCCTCTCATGCACACACACACACAAACTTCCCTCTCTCCCTCAGGGTCTCTGAGCGGACAGCAGGTCAAATAGCAGTCACAGTGGGGGAGAGGTATGCAGCAAACAGAAAATAATGAGGAAAACATTGACTTTGCTTTTCAGATAGTAAGGAAGAGTTGGGTAAGAGAGTTTCTTCTCTTTTGAGTGTTGCAAGATAGAATGCTCTTCGTCTAGTGAGCTACTTGCAAATTTGGATGCATACATTTGAAGACTTGTTTTTTATAGAAAGGCTCCTCTGGAATGCCTGCTGAGGTCTACTTTCCCCTTCACATAAGGTTAGTATTGGGTAATCTCAAAGTGCTGCAAATGTCCACAAGCTTTGTTGAAGCCTAAGGCCTTCTCAGAGGAATTTCCGCCTCTTGACTAACTTTAATTTTGGTTTTCCCTGCTCTCTCCACTGCCTCCTGCTTTCCACTGCACTAGTTTTTTCCCCCTTCTGTTTTCCTGTTTCATCACTGCACTTCTCCGTGCCACCATCTTGAAGCCAGATGTCATACAAAGAGCCTGGAGCACATTGAAATCTGGGTATGTACTTATTATCCTGCTGGAGGAATCTAGGTGAAGCTGTAGGAACAGGTCACCAAAGTTTCATATGAAATTAGTTTTACCTGCTCCTATCTATGAAGAAGTAGAAGACCTCTTACCATCACTTTTATACAGGAGATTGCTGCTGGTTTAAGATTTGAACTATAGAGAAATGTTTGCTGTTTTGGGACATATGTTCTCCTGACATAAAAAGACTGTTTTAGTGGGAGGATTTTTCAGTTCCAGGTGCTGGTGTTCATACAAAGTATTTTTCAGAATCAGCAAGGCAGGGCTGGGAGAGGAGTCCTGTGTAAGTAAATCTGATTCCTCATGTTCCATATGTGAGTTTGTATTTTGGTTTTGATGAGGAAAAGACAAAAATCATGTTCCCTCATGCACCCTTGGTGAACTTTAAAAGGCTCTTCCAGCCATATCCCTGCTGATGGCTTAGTTTTAGCAGGATGAAGAAAAGGAGTGAGCTCTGAAGGTGGGAACTTCACAGAAAGTGCCTGGGCAAGCGATTCTGATGTTTGCAAAGAGGAACTTGTACTTTCACGTAAGGTGTTAATGAGTGTGGGTGGGTATGATCCCATCTCGTCTCACAAGCCTTTCCCTGAACACTCCCACCTTCAGATATTAACAGATAGCGCTGCACTTGCCAAAATCTCATAAAAACCCAGTCGCAAACTCAGCACAGGCAGAGCATAAATGGGTGCATTTATATTGAAGAGAATACATGTCTGTAGCAGACATTAATTTGGCCTCGTGCTTTTCCTTGAGCTGAACTGCAACTGTTAATAAAAGAATACAGGGTGACCTTGGATCATCTATTTTGGTTTTATTTCTTCATGTAGCTTTAATAAACTTCATCTGGGTGACGGCCACTTTTTTGACAGCAACTTGTTCGTAAGTTTGGGTGTAAAGCAAGATTATGTCAAATGTAATCTTGCATTTTCACCAACCAACCAACCACCCCAAGAATCAGAATACTTTGCACCGTCTTTGTATCTCTTGGCTCCCTGGTGCGGAGATCCTCCAACCTGTTATTGCTTCTCAGCCTGCTAGAGTATGGAGACTGAGCAAAACCTGTCAGCTGCAAGCAGCAGTTACATTCTCTAGTGAACAGAATCCTCTTTGCTAGAGTACTTTTCTAAAGGAGGATTTGAGATGTGAATAGTGAGAGATTTAGGAGTGCTGAGGCTTTCTGGCTCTCTCACAGATTTCAGCAACTGACATGAAGAAAAGCAGAACTTAGTCTTCTCCCTGCTAGTTATTCGCCTTTATCTAGTGTTTCCTACAGGAAGCTGGCAATTCGGTCACTTTTCTGACTGATAAACTACCCCTCTTCCCACCCTCTAGTCTAAAATCACCTCGGTACCTTTCTTCAATGCCTTCAGGGACTGGCAGCTTCAACAGAAACAACCCTTCCTGTATTCTTGAGGAGAGTCAGATAATCAAGTTAATATGTGAGGGAGAAGACCAGGCTCTGCTTTGATGGGTTTGAGCAACCCCAGCCTGTAGACTATTTATGGAAGAAATGGGATGACCTGAATGCTGCCAGTACCATGGCAGGTAGTGACTTCCCCCTGCTGCTGTCATCTTTCCTTGAAACATAACACCCTCTTTTGCTTCTGTAACAGATGCCTCTAATGCTTTAGCAGAAACAAACTCTGTGGACTGGGTGCAACTGTAAAGCACAGACCTCTGAGGAGACAATTTGTATCTTCACACTCTTGGAGATAGAGAGTCCAAACTTAATAGTTCCTTATGCTCACCTTTGCTATGGGCATTGTGACATACTAATGCAGAAAAAATCCCCCGAGGCAAATGCATGTGCTGATTCTGTGCATAAATCTAGAACAGTTCCTCCTTAAATGAGGGAAGAAAGCACTCCAGTTTGAGCTGAGCATGAGCAAGTATATAAGAAAACAAAATAGAGGATAGATGCAAATCTAGGGGGAGGGAGGTGGCTCTAAACAGACAGTAGTGAGACACCACCTTATATTCCTGAAGTTAGCTGATAGTAGAGGCATGTGATTTCCATCCAAATACAAAGGCTATAAAAGTGTCATGTTGTTACTCTTCATTCTTATGGGTCATCATGCCCGAAAAAGTTCATTAACTTTGTAGCCAGTTACTGTTTGCTCTCTCTTGTGTCATCCATTGTGCCCAGGTATTCCAAGGACATGTGGTTCTCTGTCTTGTGTTAGTAATCATCCTGACCAAGTGCTCCCAAGTAGATGTGGTTCAGTTTCCTGCTTTTTTCTTATTCAAAAGCATTTTTTTAATTCAAATTTTATTTAGCTGAAAGAGTTGCCTCTGTGTTGTACAGGGTTTTCACAGACAGGCATCCTAGGCATGATTTTTCCCTGTCTGTATTAATCAAATGATAATGAAAAGAATACAAAAGTGAAATGTTGTTTGACATCTTCCCCAAACATCCTCATTCACAAAGCCAAGTGGAATTAATGGAGGGAAATACTGTTGGAATATCAGTGCCTTAAATCTGGACATGTCAGAAGCTTCTGCATGAAAGTGACCTTGGCTTCTAAAATTGACTTCCTACAGGTCTTCTGAGGCAGTTGGCCACAAAAAAAAGCCACTGTTACAGAGTGCTTGTAAGAGTGGTACAGAGGAAGAGGGCATGGAAAACTGCAATACATACAAGCCCTGAACAAATGGATTTAAACTTGTGGTCCCACAAGATGCTTTTGAAAAATCCAGATTAAAGAATGAGATGACACGTGATAGCCAGTACAGAACCAAGTACTGCAGTGAGGTCAGGCACCTAAGGGTGTCTGAGAGTAGCCTATGTGACCCCCAGAAGTCCTGCCTTAGGTTTGAACCCTGACTAGTTGCTTCCCTTGAACCACTATGTGCAAACACTGGGCATTGTGAATATGTTAACCAAAAATGTTGCTTCATCTTCCCTTT